GTGTAGACGGGCTGTCAACCTAACGTTATTAGGTAATTTGTGTTGGTAAATAGGGCTGTATGCAGATTGTCAGGTTCTCATGAAATGTTCTGCACAGCCATCCGGATTAAAAGAGTTATAATCCGGTATCATTCGTAACCTATTATATCACTAACATTTGCGTGCAATGAAAGTTAAAATAAATGGCCTTCCCGCTTTGTAATATATGTCCCTTACTAAAGTAGAAAAATACAATAACTAGATTCTTTTGAAGCCTTATATTTTCAAGATAGAGGGAAATTCAGGCTTGGTGCAGTGGTATCATTACTGTTACTATCAATTGTGGGGTTACTAAGGGCCCTATAAGAGTTTCAAGACAATATTATAGAGTTGGTAATTACATACAGGGCTACTGTACCAATGAAAGAAACCGCTAAGGCATGTCACGTGACCTGGAAATTCAGAGTAATTGTTTTACAAATTTGGTCTTCATTTTTGTATGCGTAAGAAATGTAACATTATGAAATTTAAATACTAATTTGTTATGCAACAGGGGAAGGTGAGGACTGATGCTGAAAGGGCTTGAATTATTTGTGTCCTTCGTACGACGTCAGTTCGATATTTTATTGTCAATGTTAGCAAGACTGCGTCATGTTTGGTTTTCTAATCACCAATTTGTGTTCGTCTAATAAAGCAATATGGACGATCGAAACAAATATGTTTACGCAGTTGTGTCAGAAAATGACAAATCCCTCGTTTAAGAGTCTGGCGGATGGGGCAGTGACTTTGATTGATGGACGGTAGGCAAAATTGTTGACGTCGTGTGTCAACACCACAGAACGTTACAAGAACAAAGAAGACTTGAGAAGGAATTTGACAACAGACCCGATTAAATAGGGGAGACCGGAGCTACTTGATCTTTTCGGACTGTATCTCGTACGTACTTCATTACGGGCATTAAGCTTATTATTATTATTATTATTATTATTATTATTATTATTATTATTATTATTATTATTATTATTATCCTTCAGCCAGGTGCGTCATCGCTGCAAATGACGTATGTAAATGTTTGGACGTATTTAGCGTAAACATTGTCTCCCTTGAGCGATCGTTCTCAACAAGGGAAAGGATCTAGCTTCGTTATCTGTTTTTTATATTCTTTAAAGTTTTACAATTATATTAGTGTTCCCCAGATGGATTATTTGTTTTTATTTATATTTCTTAATTTTTTGCTCTGTGTTAATATTGTTTCTATTTTGGGTTTGCCTGTACTTGGCTGCTATATTTAATACTGTACATGTATAAGTTTAGTTAATCCGTTTGTTTACTATTATCCATTATTATTTCACTATTATTGTATGTATTATCAGTGTTTGCCTGTTATTGGCTTCTTGCTGTTGGCAAACACGTAAATAAATTAATTGAATTGAATTGAATTATTATTATTATTATTATTATTCCATCCATTCACTACTTTATAGGGTATTTATTTCTATGTACCAGAGACAAATCTTGCCCCTGATGTACGTAGTGCAACAGCTATTTCTGAAATACATTTTGTTTTTAATATGTTTTAAATGTGTTATATATTTCGAACGATATATGAATATCCTAAAATGGCAGTTTTCTGAAATTCCCTGACGCTGTGTTCGCTCCGTGATGCTGGCCAAATATTTTCTGAGTGACTTGGAAACATTTCCAGTTACTCTTGTAATTATTGGGACTATTTTTGCTTTCAATTTTCACATTCGCTGTATTTCAGTGTGAAGGTCCTTGTATTATTATTATTATTATTAGCTCACCAATTTTGGATTTTCCTCTAATTTTGATGATTGGATTTGTAGTTATCTTACCAACAGACATTCCTTTGTACGTATATCGGGAGAGCTTTCATCAGGAGTGCCTCAAGGTTCTACCTTAGGCCCCTTACTTTTTAACATATTTATTAATGATATTTGCGACTCTCTTTCCAATTCGAGTTATCTGTTGTTTGGTGACGATATAAATATATATCGTAATATTAGAAACGTTTTTGATCGAAAGTTGTTGCAGAATGATATTCATGCTATGCAAAATTAGTGCCATAAAAATGGTATGAAGCTTAATTTAGGTAAAACTACGATTATATCTTTTACTCGTAAAACAAACAGCTTATATTTTAATTACAAATCATATAACAATTTGATATTGCGTTCTCAGTGTGTTAAAGATCTTGGTGTACTTTTGGACTGCGAGCTTTGTTTTTATCAGCGTATTGATTACATATGTTCACAAGCCCTTAGAATGCTAGGTTTGATTAGGTCTTGTTCGGTCTAAATTGGAGTATGGATCTGTTACTAGGAATTCCATTACTTCCACTGATTCTACCAAAATTTAAATAATTCAAAGGAAATATAAAACAAGGAAAATTTGTCCACAGTTTTATATATTACGCATTTATGATTCAGTACTGAGCAATTTGAATTTGAAAAGACTTTTTTGCTAAAACAACGACATCTCGATTCTTTATATTATTATTAATATTTTTAAGGATAAAATAAAATGTCATGTTGATATTCGTGGACCTGCAACAGAGATAATAGAATTTTCTACTTTGTACATGAGCAGTTCATTGAAAACATGCAGATTTATTTTACATTTTTAGCAAAATTAAGGTCTTGTTCGAGGTTACGTCCTCGATACCAGAAAATACTTCGATTGGCTGTATTTATTTCAATTTGTTTACATTTGTTAGTGTTTATTTATCACAAACCCCTGTTGACAAACTCTCCAGAGAATTTTTATTGTTGTTGTTGTTGTTGTTGTTACGTATCGGTGCCTAGAAGGCAGCCATCTTAAATTATAATATTTCAATCTCTAGCATTCTAACCTAAAAGTACGTAAACCTACGAAACAATGAATTTCTAACCATCTGCTGTTTCCATTACAGAATAAATGTATTCTTCATGCAATTGTGGTTGTAGATACCAGGACA